CCGAGACCCTATCATGCTCTGATGCGCCGGCCTACGAACGAGAACTCGTCGAGTTAATTGAGTGGAGAGGATAGAAACTTCGGCATAAGGGTAGCGAAAAAGTACCTCGATGTATTTCTTGGCATTGTCCCAAGCACCGCCTGTGTTTGATGCAGAGATGGCGATCTGTCGAACATGGGTTAATGGTGAGACATATGAGAGTAGTTAGTTTAGTTCCGCATCGAACTGAAGAAAAATAAATTTGTATGGGAAATATCAATGATCTTGTCTCACTTATTTTTAGAGTTAATTGATGTTCACCCCCATAACATTAATAAATAGCATGAAAATGCCACAATGGTTAAATTTGAAATAGAAATTTTGCAATTTTACCTGAACACCAGAAACGAGAGCGCCGGCGAGTACTCCAGATAGGGTCTCCACACCAAAGAAAGTCCCAACAATAAGGGGCGTAAGCATGACTAGAGCACCAGGGGGTATCATCTCCTTGATAGAGGCATCTGTTGAAATCTTGACGCAGGTTGCATAATCAGGCTTAGTTGTGCCTTCCATGAGACCGGGAATGCTGTTGAACTGCCGGCGAACTTCCTCAACCATCTTGAGAGCCGCGCTGCCGACACTCTTCATGGTCATGGCCGAGAACCAGTAAGGCAGCATAGCACCGACGATCAACCCAATGAAGACTTTTGGTGTCAAAACATCAACTTTCGAAATAGCCGCCCTGCTTACAAAGGCGCCGAAAAGAGCAAGGGAAACCAAAGCAGCCGAACCAATGGCAAAACCCTGAAAATTAAACAAAGCAAAATTGCCAAGTAAACTCCTAACCAAAAGTTTGAAAATTTGAAGAGATAAAGAAAAGAAAAGCTGTTAGTAACAAGGCACATAGGTACCGCAAGAGCAACATTTAGATACATACCATGCAATTTCTCTGTGCTTACATATCCAAAACTTGAACTTCAATTTTTACAGACATATGACTTTATCTATGCATGAAAAAATATATTTCTTTTTAGACATTAAAATAGTGGTATTTTTTATGTGATATGACATATTTGGTCAGTATAAAGGTAAAAAAAAGTAAACATTAGGTGTTAGATATGTAAATACATAGGAATATATGGTGGTATGTATGTAAATGACCTAAATTAGGAAGTATACGTGTATGGAGAAATACCAAATATTGATGACAAACTAGGAATTAGAAAGCAAGCAACCAACATAAAGAGCAACAGATCCATAAAATGAACAAGAGAAAGCTACTAACATACAAACCTTTCCAATGGCCGCAGTTGTATTTCCCGCAGCATCGAGTGCATCAGTCCTCTCACGAATTTTGTGGCTCATACCAGCCATTTCCGCAATGCCTCCGGCATTGTCACTGATGGGGCCATAGGCATCAATAGCCAAACCTGTGGCTATCGTGCTCAGCATACCTAGAGCAGCAACTGCAATACCATACATGGCTGCAAGGCTAAAACTGACAAAAATGCTGACAGCAATGGCGAAAATTGGAATTATGACAGATTTGTATCCCAAAGCAAGTCCAAAAATAACATTTGTTGCTGCGCCAGTTCGACAGGAATCGGCAACATCTTGTACGGGGCTGTAAGAATAGTGTAACCACGAAAACAAAATAGTTCGACACAGGCCATATTACGTCATAAAAAAGCTAAAAAAAACAAAAAATACTCAGCCTGTATGCATTGCTGGTGAAATATTCAGTAACGAATCCAATGACGAGGCCAGCCCAGAGACCGATTGCAACACAGAAGAACAATTCCCTGTTAAGTTTCAAAGAGATTACAGAATATGTCAACATCTAGTTCGAACATCAAAAAATAAAAGGGAAATTTATATACGTAGCACACAATTTTCATGTATTTATAAGTCTCATGCCTAAACGTTCATAGTTACATGCATAAAACTTTGATGCTTTAAACCTATGCATGAAATGGTGTATTTCAGTTCTAAAAAATGATAATAATGCTGTTTTTTGTGTGATATTTAGGATTTAAATGGTACGTGTGTAAATAAGAAAGTTTAGGCGTGAAATATGTAAATACATAAGAATTGTATGCAGTGTGTGCAGATGCCCCAAAAATAAAATTGTCACGTTCTTACCAATTTTTCACTTCCTTCTGTGCACCAAAATTAAAGATAGTGAACGATGGCGGAAGGGCTAACCAACTAACAATTGCAATTCCAATAGTCATAAGAGCAGTGGAAATTATTAGCTGTCTCTTAAGTGCAGGTTCAATCTCCTTAACAGCTTTTATCTCGAAGAAATCGGTTGCGAAAAGAGTTGTGATCAAGCAAACAATAATGCCCATAGAGCTAACCAGCAGTGGGTAGCACATCCCAGTTAAGTCATGATTAACTCCAAAGGAAGAAATGGAAGCAACAACAAGAGCAGCACAAGAAGACTCTGCATATGAACCAAAAAGGTCTGAACCCATTCCAGCAATGTCACCAACATTATCCCCCACATTGTCAGCAATCACCTGTATGACATGTCAATAAATCATAACAAATGTATAAGTATTATTTACCCTAAAAATTAACGGAATAGAAAGACTACGAAACTCAAAACAAAGGTTGTCAAAAAATTTGACATTCTCAAACAAATTGAGCTCAACTTATTAAATAACTAGTATTCGATTCGTACATAGAGAGCTGAACACAAAAAATTCTTTTGAGCTAGATTTTAAAAATGGGTCGATTATGAGCAAAATTTTGTTTATTGTGTTTGACTTGTTGTGGCTTGAATTAAATAAATAAATATTATTATTATTATATTTTTTATATTTATTGATTATGTTGTATTTAAAAAATATTAAATTTTATTAATTATTAAATCATTCGAGCTAAGTTCAAGTCAAACACAAGCATGCTATTCACGAGCCATTCCAAACACAAGCTTAATTCGAATAAAAAAAATCAAATAAGCTGAACGCAAACAAGCACTAGGCCTGCTCAAGATCAGCTGGTTCACACCCCTACTCACAGCTGGATTCCTAGGATCATCTTCTGGAATGTTCCTCTCAACTTTACCAACGAGATCAGCACCAACATCAGCAGCTTTCGTGTAGATGCCACCTCCCACTCTACCAAAAAGAGCCATTGAAGATCCACCAAGGCCATAACCAGTAATTGCCTCGAAAAGACCCTCCCAGTCATCACCATAGTACAACTTGAACAGGTTAATTGCAATATATAGCACCAAAAGTCCATTCGCAGCTAATAAGAAGCCCATGACTGCTCCAGATCTGAATGCAGTGATGAAAGCCTTCCCCACACCCTTCCTTGCTTCTAGAGTTGTCCTAGCATTTGCATAGGTGGCAATTTTCATCCCTAGAAAGCCGGAAACAACGGAAGTGATGGCACCCAACAAGAAGGCAACGGTGCTAAAAATGGCATTGAAGAGAGCTGGTTTGCAAGCTTTATCCTTGCTGTAGGTGCAAGGTTGTTCCTTTGTGCTAAATCCTTCCACAGAGCCAAGGAAGAGAAATATCAAAATGGCGAAAGCCACCATAAAGATTCCAACATACTGATACTCAGTAAACAGGAAGGAAGTGGCTCCTGTAGCATATCAGCACATCAATAGTCCAGCATTAGAATTTTCTAAAACCCATTGAAAGAGAAAAATAAACTTTAATATAAGAATTATAAAAATTTAAAAGGAAGCAGATGAAATGCATGAATTAATCTTTTTCTTGTTTATGAATAAATTTCCATGCCCTAGATCTCATCCTCTTAATATCTCGTCAATCTAGTATCCAAGTATAATTACTAATTGATTATCAATTTCTATCTTGAAGGTCAATAATGATTAAGTTCTATCTCAAAAATCAGATCAAATTAGGAAGAAATCAAAATGAAATTTATAAAGTAGCTTATCAATAAAAGAATTAATGAATCAGAACATAAATGATCAGTGCAAGTGGCATCTTAACAAGCTGATTTACTCGATGTAAAAAATGTAAATGGGAAAGCTGCATCCAAAACACAGGTCTGTATGGTCAAAATATCATCATATTAGGCTTATGGAGCATTAATTGGCTTTGTAAGTTTCTCAGCCCGATCCACTGAATTGAGATCAACCAACTGACAAATACAAACTGTTGAGAACTAGCAGTCAAGTACGAGCTGCTGAACATGAACCACCGAACACAAACCATCCGGCGGATGTATCCCTCCATGGGTCAAGTCCAAAAGGGGGTGTGTTTGACACCACCATCCAGAGTCACCTTACAAAATCAAATCAGTCCTACTAGAAAATATGCAACTCACTTCGACTTAAGACTGCCTTAGGGTGAAACTCCCTGAAGGGGCCTAACAGACTAACAGAGATGTGACCCAATAAATGCATAGGTAACAGAAGGCGATATGCAATGTCTGTCGTCAGAGATAATATTAATAATATGTCAACGTTAGAGTAAGGTAAATAAATATAGAAATAGAACCCTAGAGATCAAAATATAATCATCAACCTTGTAAATTATAAGGAAAATATTTTCTTATACAAGGGTAGAAACTTATGTAACAAATGATAATCATTTTAAATCCCAGATGGGGGTAACACATCCCACCTTGAGTAAACACTATAATCACCTCTCTTTAACCCATTCTTTCCACCAACCCTAACTCTTTACTTGAGGTGTGAGTCAACAGATGAATCAGAATTCAAAAGGTTCCAAATAAAAAGACCAATTTTCCAAATAATTTAGTTAATCATAGAAAACATTTGCAATAATCTTACAACCGCACACTGATAAACATCAACTAAGAAACAGATTGTCCAATTACCATATAATGCATAATTTGAAGCATTAGTAGCTTATGAACATATACAAATATTTCACAACTAAATATATTTCAATAAAAAATTGCATAAATTTCTTAACAAATGGACAACTATCTCAACTAGAACGATCGTCCTCGAATGATAAACTACTTGCTCTTTATTGTTTTTCCATAGGCCAGAATAGTACCACAAAGGATAAAAGTGAAGGTCGCAGCATCAACCCTTCTTCCGCTAATTGTACTCAGCACAGCTGATGGCTTGCACCATAAATAAAAGAAAAAAACTGACAATCACAAACTTTTTGTACCACTCAACAGAGAGCTAAGAGAAAAAGGAGAGAATGACTTGTTCAAACACACATATTTTATAAAGAGTTAATGCATAAAATATAAAATAGCATCAAGACAGCTTATTTGTCTGAGACTCAATTAAGAAGAAGCAATCTTGGCTGCTATTAAAAAAAAACCCAAATAAATTAAATCTCCAATATCTGCACAGCATTATAAACAAATCTTGCAAATTCTCATGACGCACAGTAACTAAGGGGTTGTCTGGCAAAAGGAGACAATTAAGTTATTAGGATTTAGTAAATCCAGCCTGAATGGTTTAAATCCGAAAAACTGTTTAGTAACGGATTTACTAAATCTTGTAAATCCAGCATAACAGTTTGGCAAATAGAACAAACTGAATAGCTCTTTCGCCAAATCCAGTAAATCCGCCAATTCGTGGGATATAGTAAATCCAGGATTTACGGAAAAAATCTGTGAAATTCAGATTTATCAAATCCGTGGCTTTGATTTGTCCAAAATGAATGTCTAGCAAGATTTAGCCTACATCCAAGTTAAATCCTGCTCTAAATCCATTGCCAGATAGCCCCCAAGGGATGAAAAAAATATTAATAAAACACAAGCTCACAAGGGTCACTGTAATCCATGGAATCTCCCTTTTTTAAATCGAGAAGCCATTATCAAGCCAGCATTAAGAAGAGTATTAATGCTGACTGGAGCTATTTGGATTCTCAACAAATGGAAAAAAATAAAAATGGATGCAGTTTACTATTCGAGTGTTTGATTGCGTATACAATAGCTGTATTACTTTACATCAGGTTAGTTATCAGGACACAACTTCACAAAACCGCTAAAATAACCGCCTTATTCTGCAGAGATGCGAATTACCTCGCAGCAATTTTATCTGAAATCAAATTATCTAACGGCCTATAAAATTTTATTGAATCAACATAATAGGAAAATTTTTAATTATTACCAAAAAAAGAGCACCACAAATAGCAATTGATGCGTCCAAATCTCAAACCATCAGATCATGCTATGAAACAAGCAAATAAGTAAACCTAAACAGCCATGCAAGAAGCATAGATCTGAGTTAAAGCAAAACAAAAAACCTTCCGAAATAGCGTTCTGTATTTCGGCGCACTTGACGGCGACGTTGTGATCGTTCAGACCGTCTTCCTCCTCGGCGAGGAGACGGTCATCCAAGCCGTTCTTATTGTTGGGGACCCCGTGCCGCTCAGGCGAAACTTTTACCTTAGAGACAAACGTCCACTGAAGAAGCGCAAAAGCGATCCCGATGACGGCCGCCACTGGGATTAGGATCTCCGTGAGGAGAGCTGAAACAATCGCCGCTCCCATTTATGGCTCCTCAGTAGTCTACCACAGATACCCTCACCGCCGCCGCCGTCCAACCCACGCCAAGTTAAAACCGCCGGAGAGAAATGGAAAGCGAGTGCACTGAGTGAGGTCTGAGGGTTTCGAACACGTCCGCTAGTCTCCGTCAGCTTATATAGGCACGGCGTCTTGGACATCGTGGGAAGAATTGAAGATAAAACGTGGATGGAGGTTGTAATGGGGCATTTACATTCATACCCTCCATTTCCTATGTTTTTACATTTCTAATACTGAAATTTTAATTTTACTTTTATAACCCCCAAACATTTTCCTATCACAACAAAAATATCTCCAATTTAATTTTTGAAAAAAATGAAGTATTACAAAAATATCCCCAATTTAATTTAATTTTTGATTTTTCTAGTATGTTACAAGAAATTTAAATCAAGAATAGTGGGAATTTATTGAATAAATTAATATACATAAATTAATTATAATAAATAAAAATGGATAATTCATAATAAGCACATATCACTTTTATATTGTACAAGCAAACACTTTTATTAATTAATCAAGTGTTGGGACAAATTTATACAAATCAAATTAAGAGATTTTTTTTTTAAGGAAATGAACTATCCAATAAAGTTAAAATGTAATTAAGCCAACAAATGTAGTATAGTTAGAGCTATAATATACTAAAATTTATGTCACTAAAATATTTAAAATATTGAGATAACTTAGTTTCATAAGTTCATATCTAATTGAAATTTTTGACAAACGATAGGAAAATAAAATTTTTAAAAACGGTGGTACGATAATGATAGTCTATTTTGATTTGTATAATTTTTTTTAACTCAAATTATTGTATACATACACCGCATGCAGAGATGCATACGGTGTACGGTCAGATCTACGGTCAGGATGTATTTCGGTGGGCCTCACTTTTATTTTTTTTTTTCAAAAAAAATGTAATTGCATCCTGACAGTAGATCACCATGATCTACGATCATGATCGGACACCGCATGCATCTCTGCATGCAGTGTATGTATGCAATAATTTTTCTATCAGATGACAATTGTTATGAGACTTCCACATAATAGTTTTTTCTCTCTTCCTCACTTGTTATCTCTTTCTTTCACTATCTTTCTATCTTATTTCATCTCCATGATTTAAGAAACATCAAAGTATAGGTGTTACATCTTAGTGGTGACTTGTACAGCTCTAGCTTGATGATTGGCAAGATGGGCTATGATTCTATTGAAGTTTAATGTTTCATGTCTTCCTTAGTGAGCCATCAAGGGACAATGTCTTAGCTGACTTTTTAGAGACTTGCCTCGATTCCAATGGACTAGATACATAATGATGATTTTTCTGATGAACATTTGATGGTCATCCATTCCCCACTAGACACATAATAATAATTTTCCCGATGAACATTTGATGGCCATCCATTCCCTGGAATGGAAGTTATATTTAACGGAGTGTCTTACTTAAAGGAAGGCCCGTCGAGCTCTCTCCCGAGGATCAAAGTGGGTATCAATTTCATTTTTTTTTATCCCCAGAGGTTATTATTATTTACTGCTCTTATTGCTAGATAAAGTCATGTACTAATAACGAAGCTGAATGTGAGAGTCTACGTGAGGGTGGAATAATATTGTATAAACAACCTAGATGTTTTTTGCATAATCATTAAGTTTTTCATATTAAAAAAGTAATGTTATGATATTTTTGTAACTTTAATAATTATTTAGCCTTAAACATAATTTCATTGAATACCTAAAAGTATTCAAATTTAGAGTTGAAAATTTATTTTTAAAAATAGTAATAAATAGCATATCATATCTAGAATGCTCTGATAATAGCAATTTACAAATCTAACACTAAATGGCTCCAAAAAATTCACTTGTATTGACTTACATAAATGTTCTTGTAAATACTACATAAATCACATCATTGTTTCTTGATCAAGCTTTTAAAAATTATCCAACAACAAAATAACTTTAAAATACATTTTAATAAATGCATTAGAGCATCATACTATTTTAATATATATATTTATATAACTATAGTCAAAACATTTAAATGCCTGGGAGGATTATAGCGGATTCTTTACGTACATAGAATAAATCAATGGAGACTATTAGTATGTTTGGGGCAGCTGTAGTTTATTGAATAATCTGCTGATAAGCTTATTAAAAATAATATGTTGATAAGTTAGGTGCGGTAGCTAATACAAATTTTTATTTTTTTGGAAAAGTCTGACCCTACCAATAAGCTGCCACCGCACCTAGATAGTTGCGGTGTGAAAATGTTGCTTTCAGCATTTTGAAAATGCATAAATTGTCAAAACGCAGTTTATCCAATCAGGTCAGGTGCGTTTTCAAAACGCCACCGCACCAAATAAGTTACCCCAAACGGGCCCTATAGCATGTGTTCTTAATACATCCTATCAATTTTTTATCTAATAACAAAATTTCTTATGCCTTTGAGTGAAGTGAATGAAAGTCAAGCTGAACCTAAGCACTTGCTAGCTTATGATGAGCCATAAGGGGGTTTGCCAATAAGATGCTAGCCTTCCAAATTATTTTAATTTGGTTCCATCACATTAAAGAACTATATAAATAATCCATTAATTTGGGCAAATATATTTTTGTAAGTCTCTATTAATTTGACAAGTCATGCTAACATGTTTATGTTAACCATTACTTAGTAGAGAGCTACTAAGTGCTTTATGGTGTGCCATAAATTCTATCAATTGTATATTTTAGTGAAACCCTCTTGCTATGCACATTTATGAACTTAGGCAATCTTTGGGCTGCTATTACTGATAAGAGTTTGATTGAATGGACTTAGGCTCATATAAAATTAGTATCGATTGAAGTTTAAAAAATGCAAATTTGTCTCTTTTTTTAGGCTAAGGTTTGTAAGAGCATGACTGGTGATATAGCAATCGGGGATTCAAAAATTGATGTGAAAAAAAAATAAAAAAATAAAAAAGATTTTTCATATAAATCCTACTATTATTATATTTTTAAGGAAAATGATTAAATATTAGAATGTTCATATAAGAAATAGAGAGTTGACATATATTTATAGAGGAGAGGGCAAGAGTTAACTTCAACACTATTGGGTCATCTCCAACCAAACAAAAACAAAAATCCAAACAAAAAGGTAGATACACTATCAAATTTTATAATTAATAACTAAAAGAAAAAGGAAAGATGGAATTGCAAAACAATGCCAACATTAAACAAGAATATATAGACTTCTTTCATGACTTATAAAATAGTCATCCATTCTTAATTGAGCTCTAGCATGAATATTGTGGATCAATAAGGTTGCTTTTAACGTACCAAAGTATCTAACATTGTGCTAATAAACACTTCATGGCTTAGCTCAATCAAAATAGTTGGGTTTTTTTTTATAGTGAATTATATTAAAAATGCCCTTGAGGAAGTGGACATAAAAATTACGTTTGAGGTTGTTTCTTTTTCATATTTTGGTCTTCTAAATAACTATTTGTAGATCACAAATTACGACTACTATAATTCATTAGAAAATATTATATTTGTTGAGTGTTAAAAAATTTGTGACTGTAGAGTAATAATTTAATATCTTAATATTGCACGACATACCCAAATAAAAGAAAAGTTGTGTAATAAGAAACCAAGATTCTTTTACGTGGTAAAACCCTAAAAGAGGAAAAATCACGAGGTTAGAACAGTCGAAGTAATCCACTATATATTTGTAAATACTAGTGGACACCCTTCTCTCACAATAGGGAGAACAAAGTTACAAACTTACATTGAAAACTATAAAACGCTTGTCTTTATATAACTAAGAAAATACAAATGTTAGGAAATTCAACAACAGTTGTAGTCTAGCTACCATGGTTGCACGAAGTGGTTACTGACGACCGATGGTGAGCATCGGCGGGTGCTTGATGGCTACGAAGGTCATTAGTCAATTGTGGCTTAGAGGGTAGGGAGATCGATAGTTACTCCTTAGTTCTTCTCTCCATAACAGACCCTAGAATTTCGCTTCTTCACTCTTCACTCTCACTCTCTTCTGATCAGATGGTTCATGCTTATTCATATTGATCATAGGTGATTTGTTAAGAATTTAGGTGTCTTAATGACCTCAGACATGAGCGTCTTAAACATGTTAGATTCCCTTATTAAGAAACTCAATTTGACTATAAATGTGTTAAATTTGGATTTCATTTGATCACTTAAACTAAAAATCACAAACTTTTAATTATGTTTCAACGGCTTGATTTAAGCTTGTATGGTCTCAAATTGAACCAATTTTAGAGTTTTTACATTCATCTTGTTGAGAGAGTCGGTTTAACTATAAACTTTGTTGAAATCAAAGACCAAAGTACCAAACACTCTTGAATTAGAATTTGAAACATTTATGACTCAAAAACATATCAAGATTTGTGCCTAAATATACAGTTTCATGTGATATACCAATACAATTAATATTCAACAGAAGATTCAAGCCTATGATTTTAAAAGCATTATGGGCCAAATTTTCATCTATCATTTAATTAAAAGAAAATATTACATAAGAATGACATACACAGAACTATATACAATTTGCAAAGAGGTGTGTACAATACATGTATACATGCATATGTAGAACAATTACACACCAATGTACAATTTGTACACAATTGTATAGAATATGTAACATGTTTGCATGCATGAGGAATGTGTTGTTCAAGAAAGGATTATGATAAGAAAATAAGGGTAATAAACATAATGTTGAACGATAATGATAATGATAGCGCATTTCCACAGCTCATTTCACCTTACGTGTATTGAAAAGCATGTTTTGTCTATGCTAACCATCACCACAACGCTTATTAGTTCATCCATCCGTTGAAGCCTTTATGTTTGGAATCTTATATACTTATAAATATATATTTATTTATATATGCAAAGATGTTTGATTGCTCCTCTTAATTACATGATGATATGGCATCTTGTTGTTGTGATTCTTCTGATGATTGAGGGTCTGTTTGGGAAAAAAAAATATTCTGTTTGGACGTCCGCACGTCCTGACTGCTAACCACCGGCGGCCACGTCGCCCGCCATGGCCATCGGTGGTTGGCCATCTGGATGTGCGGTGTCAGGACGAAATATTTTCTC